TGTACCGAAATCGTACCGAACCGTGATGTCTGAACCGAGCTATGAACCGAACCGTGACGTCTGTGTACCGTTCCACCCCTAGTAGGAGTGTAACAGTGTAAGAGTGTAGGAGTGTAACAGTGTAAGAGCGTAACAGTGTAAGAGCGTAACAGTGTAAGAGCGTAACAGTGTAAGAGCGTAACAGTGTAAGAGCGTAACAGTGTAAGAGCGTAACTGTGTAAGAGCGTAACAGTGTAACAGTGTAGGAGTGTAACAGTGTAAGAGTGTAGTAGCGTAACTGTGTAACAGTGTAAGAGCGTAACAGTGTAACAGTGTAGGAGTGTAACAGTGTAGGAGTGTAGGAGTGTAACAGTGTAAGAGCGTAACTGTGTAAGAGCGTAACAGTGTAACAGTGTAGGAGTGTAACAGCGTAAGAGTGTAGTAGCGTAACTGTGTAACAGTGTAAGAGCGTAACAGTGTAAGAGTGTAACAGTGTAACAGTGTAAGAGCGTAACAGTGTAGGAGTGTAACAGTGTAGGAGTGTAGGAGTGTAGGGGCGTAACAGTGTAAGAGCGTAACAGTGTAACAGTGTAGGAGTGTAACAGTGTAGGAGTGTAGGAGTGTAGGAGTGTAACAGTGCAAGAGCGTAACAGTGTAAGAGTGTAGTAGCGTAACTGTGTAAGAGCGTAACAGTGTAACAGTGTAGGAGTGTAACAGTGTAAGAGTGTAGTAGCGTAACTGTGTAACAGTGTAAGAGCGTAACAGTGTAAGAGCGTAACAGTGTAACAGTGTAGGAGTGTAACAGTGTAGGAGTGTAGGAGCGTAACAGTGTAAGAGTGTAACTGTGTAAGAGCGTAACAGTGTAACAGTGTAGGAGTGTAACAGTGTAAGAGCGTAACAGTGTAAGAGCGTAACAGTGTAACAGTGTAGGAGTGTAACAGTGTAGGAGTGTAACAGTGTAAGAGCGTAACAGTGTAAGAGCGTAAGAGAGTAAGAGTGTAGTAGCGTAACAGTGTAGGAGTGTAGGAGCATAACAGTGTAAGAGCGTAACAGTGTAAGAGCGTAACAGTGTAAGAGCGTAACAGTGTAAGAGCGTAACAGTGTAAGAGCGTAACTGTGTAAGAGCGTAACTGTGTAAGAGCGTAACAGTGTAACAGTGTAGGAGTGTAACAGTGTAAGAGCGTAACAGTGTAAGAGCGTAACAGTGTAAGAGCGTAACAGTGTAAGAGTGTAGTAGCGTAACAGTGTAGGAGTGTAGGAGCATAACAGTGTAAGAGCGTAACAGTGTAGTAGCGTAACAGTGTAGGAGTGTAGGAGCATAACAGTGTAAGAGCGTAACAGTGTAAGAGCGTAACAGTGTAAGAGCGTAACAGTGTAAGAGCGTAACAGTGTAACAGTGTAGGAGTGTAACAGTGTAGGAGTGTAACAGTGTAGGAGTGTAACAGTGTAAAAGCGTAACAGTGTAAGAGCGTAACAGTGTAAGAGCGTAACAGTGTAACAGTGTCGGAGTGTAACAGTGTAAGAGCGTAACAGTGCAAGGGTGTAGTAGTGTAACAGTGTAAGAGTGTAGGAGCGTAACAGTGTAAGAGCGTAACAGTGTAGGAGTGTAACAGTGTAGGAGTGTAACAGAGTGTAACAGTGTAAGAGCGTAACAGTGTAAGAGCGTAACAGTGTAAGAGCGTAACAGTGTAAGAGCGTAACAGTGTAGGAGTGTAACAGTGTAAGAGCGTAACAGTGTAACAGTGTAGGAGTGTAACAGTGTAGAAGTGTAACAGTGTAGGAGTGTAACAGTGTAAAAGCGTAACAGTGTAAGAGCGTAACAGTGTAGGAGTGTAACAGTGTAAGAGCGTAACAGTGTAAGAGCGTAACAGTGTAACAGTGTAGGAGTGTAACAGTGTAAGAGCGTAACAGTGTAAGAGTGTAGTAGTGTAACAGTGTAAGAGTGTAGGAGCGTAACAGTGTAAGAGCGTAACAGTGTAACAGTGTAGGAGTGTAACAGTGTAGGAGCGTAACAGTGTAAGAGCGTAACAGTGTAACAGTGTAGGAGTGTAACAGTGTAGGAGCGTAACAGTGTAACAGTGTAGGAGCGTAACAGTGTAAGAGCGTAACAGTGTAACAGTGTAGGAGTGTAACAGTGTAGGAGCGTAACAGTGTAAGAGCGTAACAGTGTAACAGTGTAGGAGTGTAACAGTGTAGGAGTGTAACAGTGTAGGAGTGTAACAGTGTAGGAGTGGAGCGTAACAGTGTAAGAGCGTAACAGTGTAAGAGCGTAACAGTGTAAGAGTGTAGTAGCGTAACTGTGTAAGAGCGTAACAGTGTAACAGTGTAAGAGCGTAACAGTGTAAGAGCGTAACAGTGTAACAGTGTAGGAGTGTAACAGTGTAAGAGCGTAACAGTGTAGGAGTGTAACAGTGTAAAAGCGTAACAGTGTAGGAGCGTAACAGTGTAGGAGTGTAACAGTGTAGGAGTGTAACAGTGTAAGAGCGTAACAGTGTAGGAGTGTAACAGTGTAGTAGTGTAACAGTGTAAAAGTGTAACAGTGTAAGAGCGTAACAGTGTAAGAGCGTAACAGTGTAACAGTGTAGGAGTGTAACAGTGTAGGAGTGTAACAGTGTAAGAGCGTAACAGTGTAACAGTGTAGGAGTGTAACAGTGTAGGAGTGTAACAGTGTAAGAGCGTAACAGTGTAGGAGTGTAACAGTGTAAAAGCGTAACAGTGTAAGAGCGTAACAGTGTAGGAGTGTAACAGTGTAGGAGTGTAACAGTGTAACAGTGTAGGAGTGTAACAGTGTAGGAGTGTAACAGTGTAAGAGCGTAACAGTGTAAGAGCGTTACAGTGTAACAGTGTAGGAGTGTAACAGTGTAGGAGTGTAACAACAGTGTAACAGTGTAGGAGTGTAACAGTGTAACAGTGTAGGAGTGTAACAGTGTAAAAGCGTAACAGTGTAAGAGCGTAACAGTGTAACAGTGTAGGAGCGTAACAGTGTAAGAGCGTAACAGTGTAAGAGCGTAACAGTGTAACAGTGTAAGAGTGTAACAGTGTAAGAGTGTAGTAGTGTAACAGTGTAAGAGTGTAGGAGCGTAACAGTGTAAGAGCGTAACAGTGTAGGAATGTAACATTGTAGGAGTTTAACAGTGTAAAAGCGTAACAGTGTAAAAGCGTAACAGTGTAAGAGCGTAACAGTGTAAGAGCGTAACAGTGTAGGAGTGTAACAGTGTAGGAGTGTAACAGTGTAGGAGTGTAACAGTGTAGGAGTGTAGGAGTGTAACAGTGTAGGAGTGTAACAGTGTAGGAGTGTAACAGTGTAACAGTGTGTGAGCGTAACAGTGTAAGAGTGTAGTAGCGTAACTGTGTAAGAGCGTAACAGTGTAACAGTGTAGGAGTGTAACAGTGTAGGAGTGTAACAGTGTAAGAGCGTAACAGTGTAAGTGTGTAGTAGCGTAACTGTGTAAGAGCGTAACAGTGTAACAGTGTAGGAGTGTAACAGTGTAGGAGTGTAACAGTGTAGGAGTGTAACAGTGTAAGAGCGTAACAGTGTAAAAGCGTAACAGTGTAAGAGTGTAGGAGTGTAACAGTGTAGGATTGTAACAGTGTAGTAGCGTAACTGTGTAAGAGCGTAACAGTGTAACAGTGTAGGAGTGTAACAGTGTAGGAGTGTAACAGTGTAGGAGTGTAACAGTGTAGGAGTGTAACAGTGTAGGAGTGTAACAGTGTAGTAGCGTAACTGTGTAAGAGCGTAACAGTGTAACAGTGTAAGAGTGTAGTGGCGTAACAGTGTAGGAGTGTAACAGTGTAAGAGCGTAACAGTGTAGGAGTGTAACAGTGTAAAAGCGTAACAGTGTAAGAGCGTAACAGTGTAGGAGTGTGACAGTGTAAGAGCGTAACAGTGTAGGAGTGTAACAGTTTAAGAGCGTAACAGTGTAGGAGTGTAACAGTGTAAGAGCGTAACAGTGTAAGAGCGTAACAGTTTAAGAGTGTAGTAGCGTAACTGTGTAAGAGCGTAACAGTGTAACAGTGTAAGAGTGTAGTGGCGTAACAGTGTAGGAGTGTAACAGTGTAGGAGTGTAACAGTGTAAGAGCGTAACAGTGTAGGAGTGTAACAGTGTAAAAGCGTAACAGTGTAAGAGCGTAACAGTGTAAGAGCGTAACAGTGTAAGAGCGTAACAGTGTAGGAGTGTAACAGTGTAGGAGTGTAACAGTGTAAGAGCGTAACAGTGTAGGAGTGTAACAGTGTAAAAGCGTAACAGTGTAGGAGTGTAACAGTGTAAAAGCGTAACAGTGTAAGAGCGTAACAGTGTAAGAGCGTAACAGTGTAGGAGCGTAACAGTGTAGGAGTGTAACAGTGTAAGAGCGTAACAGTGTAGGAGCGTAACAGTGTAAGAGCGTAACAGTGTAGGAGCGTAACAGTGTAAAAGCGTAACAGTGTAAGAGCGTAACAGTATAGGAGTGTAACAGTGTAAAAGCGTAACAGTGTAAGAGCGTAACAGTGTAGGAGTGTAACAGTGTAAGAGCATAACAGTGTAGGAGCGTAACAGTGTAGGAGTGTAACAGTGTAAGAGCATAACAGTGTAAGAGCGTAACAGTGTAAGAGCGTAACAGTGTAGGAGTGTAACAGTGTAAGAGCGTAACAGTGTAAGAGCGTAACAGTGTAACAGTGTAGGAGTGTAACAGTGTAGGAGTGTAACAGTGTAGGAGTGTAGGAGTGTAACAGTGTAGGAGTGTAGGAGTGTAACAGTGTAGGAGTGTAGGAGCGTAACAGTGGCGAATCAGACATTACTGTCAGTGTCACTCTGGGCTGGTTGTGCTGTCGATCAGTGACTGACGCGTGTGTATGATGTGTAACAGTGTGTGTTGTGTGCTGGTGTAACAGTGTGTGTGTTGTGTGCAGGTGTAACAGTGTGTGTGTTGTGTGCAGGTGTAACAGTGTGTGTTTTGTGCAGGAGTAACAGTGTGTGTGTTGTGTGCTGGTGTAACAGTGTGTGTGTTGTGTGCAGGTGTAACTGTGTGTGTGTTGTGTGCAGGTGTACGACACGGCCGACGGGACGCTCATACAGCCGCTGAAGGGACACAAAGACACCGTCTACTGCGTGGCTTACGCTAAAGATGGTGATTATGACACAAGACATGTTTAATGATGTGTGTGGTTACTGTGGTCTATGAGTACATGAGTTTCTTCTTCTCTCGGTCAGGGAAACGCTTTGCATCCGGTTCAGCAGATAAAAGCATCATCATCTGGACCTCAAAACTGGAGGGCATCCTCAAATACACGTGAGAACTGCTGTTTCAAAGCTTTTCTTTCAAGTATTGTTTGAAATGTGACTTGTGAATAATTCTAATGTCATTGAACTTTGATTCAGTACGGGCCATCATGTCCCATCATGCCATGCTCAGATCCATCAGAATAGACTGGTGTTCACAGCTTTAGTGATTCGTGTGTATTTGTGTTTTTTCTCTCAGTCACAACGACTCGATCCAATGTGTGTCGTACAACCCCGTCACACACCAGCTGGCCTCGTGCTCCTCGGGAGACTTCGGTGAGTGTGTGTTTGTGACACAATTACAATTGAAGCAAGAAATAATGCAGGGCAGTAGATTGTGAAGATCTCTATACAACAGGTGTCTAAAAGGGCTGAAAATGATTATTCATCAATTCACGTTATATATTTTACTTTTAATGAGGGTCCCGGATCCCTTCAGCCTCCCCTCGTTTCCTATCAAATGGATTAGAAAAGGTTTAAACCACCCCTTATAATTTCAATCGCATTTGGCCAGTTCGTTCCGACTATCGTGGTTTACATGTGACTGTTCTACTGAATATGAATTCAGTCACTGAATATTAAAGGTGCTGTATGTAACCTTTTCACTCTACTAAAGCATAAAACTACTATAATATGTTTGCAGATATTTAGGAAACATGCTGAGTTCACATACTCGTTTCCACAGCCAGCTATTTTAACGTGCGCTCCGTGTTGTCAGTGTGTTGTTGTTTTGGTCTGTGTGACTCCGCCCACTGCCAGTTCACCCAATAGCAGAAACACAGCCTTGGAAACGAGCAAACAAACTGCGTCAGAGATTACAGTTTCTCCCCGACCTAAAAAGCCTCGGTCTCCATCTCAAAATCTCTATAAAACGCGGATAAATCAACTCATCAACTTACAGTGTAAGTCTCCTCGGCTTTCATTGTCAATTGCGCTCGTTCCTGTTGCGTGTCCGCAACACGGCGCCCCACGTGAGCATCGAGTCTGAGGAGGCGGGGAAACAACGATCTGCGATATTTTGAATTTGGACTGCAGTACCGATTTCCACCACTAGCTGTGATTCTTACAGACTGCACCTTTAAGTGTCTTAAAGAACTCTAGGTTCTGAAGCTCTTCAGCTGTGTTGACGTGTGTGTGTGTGTGGTCGCAGGTCTGTGGTCTCCAGAGCAGAAGTCCGTCTCCAAACACAAAGTGAGCAGTAAGATCACGTGCTGTGGGTGAGTGACGACATCCAGACATGACCCTGATGATGTACTTCACTGGACCGCACTGCAAATAGACATCGTCTTATTCAGAGAAACGTTTAACGCATGCATTTAAAAATCTACCACCTGATCGCATTTTAGATCTTTTGTCTTGTATGAATCTTAAATGTCTTATAGCTAATTATTAATTGTATGATGTGTTATTCACTTAGTTGCTGACACACGCAGCATTTACAGGATGATAATGAGTGAGTGTGTGTGTGTGTGTGTGTCTGATCTCAGCTGGACGAACGACGGCCAGTACTTGGCTCTGGGAATGATGAACGGTGTCGTGAGCATCAGAAACAAGAGCGGAGAAGAGAAGGTGAAGATCGAGCGTCCGGGCGGCTCGTCGTCGCCCATCTGGTCCATCGCCTGGAACCCGTCCAAGTAAGATCAAGATAACCAGCTAATGATAACCAGCTAATGATAACCAGCTAATGATAACCAGCTAATGATAACCAGCTAATGATAACGCTAATGAAAACCAGCTAATGATAACCAGCTAATGAAAACCAGCTAATGATAACGCTAATGAAAACCAGCTAATGATAACCAGCGAATGATAACCAGCTAATGAAAACCAGCTAATGATAACCAGCTAATGATAACCAGCTAATGTTAACCAGCTAATGAAAACCAGCTAATGATAACCAGCTAATGTTAACCAGCTAATGAAAACCAGCTAATGATAACCAGCGAATGATAACCAGCTAATGAAAACCAGCTAATGATAACCAGCTAATGAAAAACAGCTAATGATAACCAGCTAATGAAAACCACCAGCTAATGAAAACCAGCTAATGAAAACCAGCTAATGATAACCAGCTAATGATAACCAGCTAATGAAAACCAGCTAATGAAAACCAGCTAATGATAACCAGCTAATGATAACCAGCTAATGATAACCAGCTAATGAAAACCAGCTAATGAAAACCAGATAATGATAACCAGTGAATGATAACCAGCTAATGAAAACCAGATAATGATAACCAGCTAATGAAAACCAGATAATGATAACCAGCTAATGAAAACCAGATAATGATAACCCAGCTAATGATAACCAGCTAATGATAACCAGCTAATGATAACCAGCTAATGAAAACCAGATAATGATATCCAGATAATGATAACCAGCTAATGATAAACATTCATATGCAGTGACACCAAAAGCTTGTTTTTTCATTAGGTAAAGGGGACGTGATTCTCTGCCGTTTGACCAGCACATCGAGTTTCCTCATTTCTATCCTGTTATTTGTTAAAAGCATCCGCCAAACACTGAGATGTGCACTGAACCCCAAGAGTTACGGCGTTCTCTCAGCCGCTGGTTTCAGAACCTGCTCGTTTTCTGCCTTCGTTTAGTCGGATATGAACACTGTAAGCGCACTGGATCCAGAGCGGACCCGATGCTGAGAGAGCGATCCGAGCCGACGGGTTCGCCAGCTGAAGACGAGCTGAAGCGCCTGAGGACATGAGTGTACTAACACCACAGGATTGCAGAACAGCTGTCCAGAACACACACTGATACCACCGTTTACCAGCGGTTCAGAGAGCGTCTCATGGAGGGGCTTTAACCGCCTGGCTTTAAGGTCCTCGCACTGAAAGTCTCGTCTGAAATTTTCACACGTCAAAAAATAAATACGACCTAACGAAACAACACCGCCTCCGAAACTTCTATTTTACAGTTTCAGTATATGTTACCTGTAGTTACTATAGTAATAAATGTACATTATGCATAATTACATGCAATTTTAATCCCTGTTTCATAACAAAGCAACCGATTTACAGGTCCTTCTAAAAAATTAGCATATTGTGATAAAGTTCATTATTTTCCATAATGTAATGATAAAAATTAAACTTTCATATATTTTAGATTCATTACACCCCAACTGAAATATTTCAGGTCTTTTATTGTTTTAATACTGATGATTTTGGCATACAGCTCATGAAAACCCCAAATTCCTGTCTCAAAAAATTAGCATATCATGAAAAGGGTCTCTAAACGAGCTATTAACCTAATCATCTGAATCAACTAATTAACTCTAAACACCTGCAAAAGATTCCTGAGGCTTTTAAAAACTCCCAGCCTGTTTCATTACTCAAAACCGCAATCATGGGTAAGACTGCAGACCTGACTGCTGTCCAGAAGGCCATCATTGACACCCTCAAGCAAGAGGGTAAGACAGAAAGAAATTTCTGAACAAATAGGCTGTTCCCAGAGTGCTGTATCAAGGCACCTCAGTGGGAAGTCTGTGGGAAGGAAAAAGTGTGGCAAAAAACGCTGCACAACGAGAAGAGGTGACCGGACCCTGAGGAAGATTGTGGAGAAGGACCGATTCCAGAGCTTGGGGGACCTGCGGAAGCAGTGGACTGAGTCTGGAGTAGAAACATCCAGAGCCACCGTGCACAGGCGTGTGCAGGACATGGGCTACAGGTGCCGCATTCCCCAGGTCAAGCCACTTTTGAACCTGTTTCTGACCTGGGCTACAGAGAAGCAGCACTGGACTGTTGCTCAGTTTTGCATGTCATTCGGAAATCAAGGTGCCAGAGTCTGGAGGAAGACTGGGGAGAAGGAAATGCCAAAATGCCTGAAGTCCAGTGTCAAGTACCCACAGTCAGTGATGGTCTGGGGTGCCATGTCAGCTGCTGGTGTTGGTGCACTGTGTTTTATCAAGGGCAGGGTCAATGCAGCTAGCTATCAGGAGATTTTGGAGCACTTCATGCTTCCATCTGCTGAAAAGCTTTATGGAGATGAAGATTTCATTTTTCAGCACGACCTGGCACCTGCTCACAGCGCCAAAACCACTGGTAAATGGTTTACTGACCATGGTATTACTGTGCTCAATTGGCCTGCCAGCTCTCCTGACCTGAACCCCGTAGACCAATTTTCAGTTGGTAAACATGGTGACGTTTTTATGTGGACGGAGCTTAAGTGGTGGCAGAACGATCCCTCTGGCCGCTTCACTAATGTAAAGTCTGCAAGTTTTGTTAGCTTGTTTTTAACAATGACTGGAGAAAATCCGATTTTATCTTAATGTGCAAGGCCACTCACTGTCCAGGACCACGATTGTTATTTGCAAGAGTTAATTTTAATCGGACGGAACCAGATTGGGCGACCCGTACACTCATTGAGGATCTGACAGGATTAACGTTAACGTTACCTCCGGTTGAGTGGCCTGACTTCTACACCTACCTGATAGAGAAACGGAGGGCATGTAAATCTTTAGATGCCTATAACTATGTGCTGAATGGTCATGTACAAGACTTGTGTGGTACGATCTGCAGTTCTGCCGAGCCAGCGCCGAGAAGACGACAATGTAAAGAGGGACATTACGGTGCAATTTTAATGAGGCGAATATTTCTAGAAATAAAAAATTGCAGATAAAGCATATTAATTTTTCATTGATTCTTGCACCCAACAACACAACAAGATGACATTTAATAATAAGAAGAATAATTTAAGATCCTTATTTTGTAGCCGAATCTGTGCTGGTTTGTATTTGCCGCCTCCAGTTTTCCCTTTGTTCTGCCACCAGCTAGCGCCGTGACGCAACTGTGACGTCGGCTGAAAATTGGTCTATAGCAGGGGTCGGGAACCTTTTTTGACCAAAGAGCCATTTTTTCATTTTTGGTTAATGCATTTTTCTAAAAGAGCCACAGTAAAATAATTATATAATATTATTATTAAAGACGTGCTTTTTATCAATAATTTCAACAGCATTAGGCTAAAAACAAACAAATATTTAGCAAAGTTTCAATATTAATTGTGAAGGGCTTTCACTGTGAGGTTGAGTTATCAACTGATGAGCATAAATCCTCTCTGTCTGGGAGAGAGAGAGAGAGAGAGAGAGAGAGAGAGAGAGAGAGAGAGAGAGAGAGAGAGAGAGAGAGAGAGAGAGAGAGAGAGAACTTACATTTACTGTGTTTACGTGAATACTCGACTTGCCATTTTTATATATTTCTGTATTTATTTGGCCGTTTCGGTGCGCGACCGAAGACAAAGGCGTGTTGCGCGCGCACACAGCATCCTGCCAGTAATTCCGTTCTCTTTCGCGACTTATCGCGCTTTTAATATTTCTGTCAGGTCCATTAAGTCAAGAACACACAGACAAAAAATATAATTTAAGAATTTTATTGAATAGATTGCAAACAAGTTGATGTTCCTGAATTAAAATTTGGCGGTATGGCTCTGTTCAGGGAGTCCTCTGACCTTTCATGAGCACCATGAAATAGCAGAGAGTCAGAGGACAGCAGCAGCAGCATTAGGGAACGCTCACACGGTTTAAGACTGTGAGAGCTAAAATATCCCCCCGTGAACAGAGCAGGCAACATGACATAGCAAATGCCACGTTATGCATAAGGAGGAGCTGGGGAGGTGGCGGGCAGCAGAAGCGAGCAGCGAGCCAGCAGAGCGAGCAGCAACCAGCAGAGCGAGCAGCAAACCAGCAGAGCGAGCAGCAAACCAGCAGAGCGAGCAGCAAACCAGCAGAGCGAGCAGCAAACATGTATGAGCAAGGTGAATGAGCTTTAAATAGGCACCTTGTTTGAGCTTTGGCCATTGAGCAACGAGGGGAGTTAATCAGCTAATGCAGCTCAGCTGGAGCTGATCAGCTGACGGGACAGTGTTGATAGCAAAGCATTAGCAGCGTCTTGACTACCTGGCCTGCCAGAACTGACGCTGACGCTCAATTTATTTTCAATATAAAGCACATCCTTCTCTTTTTTTCATTCCTTCAATTTTTGTTAGTAATAACTTAAAACAGAATCGTCAAATCTGCGTGGATTATCAAAAATACGACCCATTTGTCATAAAGGGTCTCAGCGGCAAAAGTGAAAGTATTAAAGTTTATGCTGATTTTCGCCATTATGCCTACCTTAAACAAGCTGCAGCTGCTTGAATCCCAATGCAGGAGCTGTAGGTTATCACAGAGACAAGTTGATTGCTCTGATGACTCGTAAAACTCGTGAGCGCGACCAGCACTGAATACGCACTTTTGCCGGTACAACATGAATATACTTATTATCATAAACGTTTAACTAACTTCAGTAGACTGTGCTACAAGGGAATTGTAACTGGCAGATTTTTCTGCAGAGAGCCGATCTCTATTGATGTGTCTTTTTTTTTTTGTTTCGCTCGTTTGTTGGTAAAGGGTGAGAGACCTCGCGAGCCACATGATTTTTGCCAAAGAGCCAGGTATGGCTCGCGAGCCATAGGTTCCCGACCGCTGGTCTATAGAGAATCTGTGGGATATTGTGAAGAGAGAGTTGAGAGACGCAAGACCCAACACTCTGGATGAGCTTAAAGGGGTCATATAATGCCATTTTTGTACAAGCTAATATCATTCTTTAGGGTCTAAATTAAAAGTTTGTAATATACTTTAATTAAAAATTCTCATTAGTATTGTAAGAAAACACTTATTTTACCTGGTCAAAAACAGCTCTGTTTTCAGCACGCCGTTTCAGTGCATATGACTTTAAATGATCATGAGCTTTGCTGACTCCGCCCCTCTGTTCTATGCGTACACGTTTGTAACACAATACCATAACGTGTTGTTCATTATAAACGTGGGATAATGAATTATATGGAGAACGTCGTACATAGAAAACATGCAGTAATGTACCCTGAGTGTAAACCTTAGACTCATTCATCGTGAAGCGATTTGCAAAGATATAAATATTAATACAAAGTTTAATAAAACGTTACACTCACTTCAGTTGTTCTAGACTAGAGGTTCAGCAGGAACACGAATATCTGGTACCGATTCTTTTTTCATGAGCAGCTACTTAGCAAATCCAGCTTTACACTGATCCTTGTTTATAAAGCAGTCTGCTGAGAAATGATTCGCGCAAACATGAACGCATTGACGTTGCTCGTGGGGAATATTCCCTTCGAAAACAAACTCAGCCACTGCGTCTTCAGCGGTTCGGGTTTAGGAACATTAAAATGACTGTGTTCGTTATTACACCCAAGAACAGAACACCACAATCGCTTAGAGCCATTCTGCTCATAGACAGTGCTCCAGCATATCAACAATGACCGCGCCGGTCCGCGCAGACTATGATTGACAGCTCTCACGAGCGAGGGCGGGTCTGTGTTGAAACGCGCCTGTCAATCAACAATCGTGGGAGGGGCGTCCGACCGTGTGACGTCACGCGGTCGAACGGCTCGATTTGAGGCAGGGGAAAACATATAAGGAGATTAAAACAAAACCACTGGATGGATTTTTATCATTATATGATGGTTCTGTACAGGCACTGCCAACACACATTTCAGTACAATCAACTTGAAAAAGTGCATGTACCATTATATGACCCCTTTAAGGCCGCTATCGAAGCATCCTGGGCCTCATAACACCTCAGCAGTGCCACAGGCTGATTGCCTCCATGCCACGCCGCATTGAAGCAGTCATTTCTGCAAAAGGATTCCCGACCAAGTATTGACTATTGAGTGCATAACTGAACATAATTATTTGAAGGTTGACTTTTTTTTTGTATTAAAAACACTTCTTTTATTGGTCGGATGAAATATGCTAATTTTTTGAGACAGGAATTTTGGGTTTTCATGAGCTGTATGCCAAAATCATCAGTATTAAAGGGGTCATATAATGCCATTTTTGTACAAGCTAATATGATTCTTTAGGGTCTAAATTAAAAGTTTGTAATATACTTTAATTAAAAATTCTCATTAGTATTGTAAGAAAACACTTATTTTACCTGGTCAAAAACAGCTCTGTTTTCAGCACGCCGTTTCAGTGCATATGACTTTAAATGATCATGAGCTTTGCTGACTCCGCCTCTCTGTTCTGTGCGTACACGTTTGTAACACAATACCATAACGTGTTGTTCATTATAAACGTGGGATAATGAATTATATGGAGAACGTCGTACATAGAAAACATGCAGTAATGTACCCTGAGTGTAAACCTTAGACTCATTCATCGTGAAGCGATTTGCAAAGATATAAATATTAATACAAAGTTTAATAAAACGTTACACTCACTTCAGTTGTTCTAGACTAGAGGTTCAGCAGGAACACGAATATCTGGTACCGATTCTTTTTTCATGAGCAGCTACTTAGCAAATCCAGCTTTACACTGATCCTCGTTTATAAAGCAGTCTGGTGAGAAATGATTCGCGCAAACATGAGAGCATTGACGTTGCTCGTGGGGAATATTCCCTTCGAAAACAAACTCAGCCACTGCGTCTTCAGCGGTTCGGGTTTAGGAACATTAAAATGACTGTGTTCGTTATTACACCCAAGAACAGAACACCACAATCGCTTAGACGCCATTCTGCTCATAGACAGTGCTCCAGCATATCAACAATGAGCGCGCCGGTCCGCGCAGACTATGATTGACAGGACGAGCGAGGGCGGGTCTGTGTTGAAACGCGCCTGTCAATCAACAATCGTGGGAGGGGCGTCCGACCGTGTGACGTCACGCGGTCGAACGGCTCGATTTAAGGCAGGGGAAAACATATAAGGAGATTAAAACAAAACCACTGGATGGATTTTTATCATTATATGATGGTTGTGTACAGGCACTGCCAACACACATTTCAGTACAATCAACTTGAAAAAGTGCATGTACCATTATATGACCCCTTTAAGGCCGCTATGGAAGCATCCTGGGCCTCATATCACCTCAGCAGTGCCACAGGCTGATTGCCTCCATGCCACGCCGCATTGAAGCAGTCCTTTCGGCAAAAGGATTCCCGACCAAGTATTGACTATTGAGTGCATAACTGAACATAATTATTTGAAGGTTGACTTTTTTTTTTGTATTAAAAACACTTCTTTTATTGGTCGGATGAAATATGCTAATTTTTTTAGATAGGAATTTGGGGTTTTCATGAGCTGTATGCCAAAATCATCAGTATTAAAACAATAAAAGACCTGAAATATTTCAGTTGGTGTGCAATGAATCTAAAATATATGAAAGTTTAATTTTTATCATTACATTATGGAAAATAATGAACTATCACAATATGCTAATTTTTTTAGAAGGACCTGTATAGGTGTGGAAATGTCCTCAGATCGTAGAAAACATCTCAAACCTTCCAGAGAAGTGTAGATGCATTTATCCTGACACACACACCGTGGCTCGTGTTGATCTGTGTGTGAAACTGAGAGCAGGAGCCGATGCAGTGTGTGTGATCAGACACCAGGGGGAGCCACTGCATAAAAGCAGTCGCAAACATCTCCCTGAATCACAGACGGGTTGAAACTACAGTACAGTGTGCATCACGTGTGTGTGTGTGTGTGTGTTTCAGGGATGAACACAACGATATCTTGGCAGTGGCTGACTGGGGACAGAAGCTGTCGTTCTACCAGCTGAGTGGGAAACAGGTGTGTGTTACACCGCTTGCTCTATCACACTGGACACACACAACTGCTCACCTTACGGGACACATCATCAATATCCGACTCTCTCCGTGTGTGAGAGCTGTAATCCGACGCAGAAACGGGACAGTGAAACCCAGTAACTGTGTTCTGGTGAGGCTTTCTCTGAGAGCATGTTATAATATAAGCCGGTCAGATTTCGCTCCTTCTGGCGTATGAAGAGGATCTTATTATAATATTCCCGGCCCTTAATCTG